TTTCCATTATCCCTATAAACCCCAGTATACTATAGTAGCTTCCATTTTATTTTCCGTTATCCCTATAAACCCCAATATACCATAGTAGCTTGCATTTTATTTTCCATTATCCCTATAAACCCCAATATACCATAGTAGCTTCCATTTTGTTTTCCATTATCCCTATAAACCCCAATATACTGTAGTAGCTTCCATTTTATTTTCCATTATTCCCAATATAACCCCAACACAGAGCAACTTCCTTTCATTCCAGTGGCCTCGGACACAAAGTGCAGCGGCAGCTCAGTAATATCCTTGGCGGGTTTAGGGTTTAGGGTTTAGAGTGGGAGTCTTTCCAAAGCCCCAAGCTGTAGTGCCGCTATACCCAAAGCCTCAACCTCAGCAGTCCACCAGAACTGGGGGGCCACACATGGGGATCCTTCTTAGACACAGCGAAAACCAAAACATAACTTTATTCAAAGCCCAGAACCCCAGGGCACCAAAAGCAGATTGAGCCATAAGCCGATCCGGTCCTCAAGCTCGCTTAAATCCTTGAAAACGGGCCTTGAAGCCTATGACCAGACCTGCCGCTCAAAGATGCCTAAACCCTAAGCCCCAAGCCCAGGTCTAGACGGGGCTTCTGAGGCTTCTGAATTCAGACCAGTAGCCAGGTATGGATTCGACTGTCGCAAATGCATGGTCGGGCCGATGCTTCCAGCAATCTGGGCTTTTCGGCGGATGAGGACTCACATCTTGTAGGATTTTGCGCGATCAGTCGAGGGGTGGTTTGAAGAGGCGGGTACGTCGCAAGCTTGACTGCAATGCATTAGCTTCAGGACGTTGCGTGGAGCTTTTCAGCTTTCATTCTCAGATCGCCAGCCCTTGAGACTGAACGGCAAAAAGACGCAGAACTATAGGACACCTTGAAGAATTCGGCTTCAAACGCAGTATCGGACTCAAGCCACAACAACTGAATTGGTGAAAGCCATCGCGCAGCTCTTGCACCCTTCCCCCATGAGTACAGCAGCACGCAAACCCGTAGCACGGGGCTTGCCTGCTTGGCGGCTTAGTAAATCTTGAAGCTCTGAAATCTGTCACCCAGACCAGGTAGCCCAGGGCATCACCAAATCGCCACCGGATCTCGCACTGCCCCAGAACGATATTGAAATGTGCCGGGGGCGAAAAACGCTGAACTCCCTACATGCCTGCACTACCTGCGCAGAAGTCTATCTCCTCCCAAGCTGCAACCCTAAGATGGTGTCTAAGAGGTGCAGAAGGGCGGGCAGGACCGTCTTAGCCTGGCCCCTGCGATCGAGCCCTTAATTTCTACCTCCAGCATGCAGCAAAGCCGCGCTTGTCAGAATGGCCTGCATTAGGCTCACCTGTCATGGTGATGAAAAGAAACATGCATTGGGCATTCTGACCTGACTGAGTTGAGGGTGGCAGTTGGGGGAAGGCTCTCAACCCGTGCGTTTGCAAATGTCAGTCCTCTTCAACTCAGTGTTTGGCAAGCTTACGTTTCCTGTTCCGGATACTCTGAGAAGGATATGAAAACTGTGGACAAATGACTGATATGGACAACTCCTGCCATAGCTTCGATTGCCAGGTGATCTCAAAAAACTGGAGCATGGGTTCCATTGTAGGCCTTGGATCCCGACATGCAAAGGCCATTGTGCAAAAGCAAATTATAGAAAACAAAAGTTGCTGCATGAAGCAAGTAGATGTACAGAAATGTTCGATGTCTCGCCGCCTATCCCCATATGCCACATAGACTGCAAGCAAGCATGGACCGCAGGGAGAACTTGCAGCTGCCCCATGGCGGCTTTCGTCTACATTAGGGTCCCCCTATTTAGGGAAACCACCATATCTTACCTTCCACGAAGAAAAACATGCCAGAAGTACTCCGCTGCCAGCATGCATTGCATTTCCGATCCCGGTTTTCGAGGCCTGCACATGTCGGGGTCTGTGCTGGACGGTTGGGGGTCTCTTGTTGCGGGCTCAGGGCCTTCCTTTTTGTTTAGGGTTTAGGGCCTTAGGGCCTTAGGGCCTTAGGGTTTAGGGTTTAGGGTTTAGGGTTTTTAGAGCTCTTGGGAGAAGTTCTACAGTCGGTTTCTACGGCCCTCTCGGGGAGGTTGCTCTGCAGGACACAATTCTATCACAGGAAGACAAGAGACCTGCGGAATTCAGCCACGCAAGCCGGAGGCTTGCAGTTTGGCCCCAAAACAGGATAATCCCCTCTCCCGAAGATCAAACCCCCCACCCCCTGATATTAAATATTCCCATTAAGCGGTATAATGTAATACAATGGGAATATTTAATAGTAGGGGGAGTGGGGGGGGGGCGTAATATTGGGGGGGGATTAGGTTTGCGGAAGATAGTGCTCAGGGCTTCAGCGTTGGAGGACTTCAGGATCTTCTGAATCTGGATGGGCCTTGTCTTTCGCTGAAATCAAGACCATATGGCAACCACATTGACTAAAAATAGAAAGCCACTTGCTTACCTCATCCAAGCAATATGCCAAATCCTCTGAAGTCCTTGCACCACCACACCTAGACCGCATATCTTGCTGCAGCTGCTGAAATGGTGTACTGCAATTATACAGTCCAAGAACACATTCAGAGGTCAGGCCCATGTGAGCTATAGTCTAAAATAATCCTCATAATACTCCCCTATAGAATGCCCTACATAACCCCTTTCCAGGAGTTTAGACTATAGCTCATGTATCAAAACCTAGGTAGATACATTGCGAAACACAAGCAAGATGCTCCTAAAGTTTCCGTTTTAATTTCCGTTATCAGAATATAACGCCAATGGGAGCCCGATATATACCTTATTATAACAGGCTAAACCTTAAACCCTAAAACCCTAAACCGTAATCCCTTCTTATAATATAGTAGTTTCCATTTTCAATGCCAACTTGTCCACAACATCCCACCCCATATATCCCTATAGATTGATATTTTAACATTTTAGGCCCATACGTTACCCGTTCCACTTCAAATCCAAGGCGGCAGGCCCGGAGGAGCAGCGGCGCATCATCGTCCTCCGCCAGACGCAAGACCTCGGCTATAGAAATTGTCTGCGAAGCTGTGAGAGACTTATAGAACATGATAACCCTTATATACCCTCATAATGCACCTTTGCACCCCCATTACCTGCATTATACCCCCTTTATATCTTCGTTAAGAGGCACTTGAACCAAGGATTTCTTCGAGGTGGCCTTATCGGGATGACAATAGGCTCTCAGAGGCAAAAATCTTTGACAGAGGAGTTTCCAACTTCTACCTTGCAACTAACGTAAAACGCTGTTAAAACATTTCGTCTGGTTGTACACTGTCTTACAGGGATAATGGAAAAGAAAATGGAAACTAGTAGTATATTGCGGTTATACAGGGATAATGGGAAATGGAAACTACCATATTATCAGGTTGTATAAAGGATATATAGTATTTCTTTCCTTCTAAAGCTTGCTTCACTCGCATCAGGTACTGCGAAGGTCTCGCAGCCGCAAGGGCCTTCTGGTCAGGGCTGTCATCATATATTGCAGGGGAAAAGACCTTTGAACTAGGCACACAGGTGCTGATGCAAACCACATGCAGGTCTGGTGGGGCTCAGGCTTAGTTTTGTTCAAGGCTTCGGAAGAATTGCCTGCCTCGATAACTGCGAAAGCCCATCAAATATTCTAAAACTCAAAAGACCTCTGCTACCACCAGAGCAGCCGTCAAATCCTCTGTACCCACTCCTTTTTGTCCCAACCCCGAGATGAATCATGTTACCACCCACTCTAAGCCATGCAGCTCGCGAGCACGAGTTTGCCTGCTCTATGCAAACTTCACGGTTCATGGTTGCAGCATACATGAACATGATTCAGATTGGCAAGTAGCCCAGAAAGGGAGTGGAGGAAGAGCAATAGAAGGACAAGAAAAAGGGGCTTTCAGCACTCAGGGTTCAAGGCATCTAAGCTCCTGCTGAAGGTTTGGTTTTTGGGGCCCTTTCAGTGGATGAGATCAGGCTGCACTCGCTCCTTTCTGCCTGCATGTCCAGAAGCAGATCTGCAGCGATGAAGGTTGCAAACCCATACCGGCCATAGAAAGGCGTCCCCTGCACAGTCTGCTCCCCTAATGCCGGGGTGCGCACGCACATGCGTGCCTGGTCCTTACTTCTATGACCATCATGATACTGGTGCTCAAAAGCTACTGTTTTCTTTCTTTCTGCCACACACTCTGACTATGCGGAGATATGAAGGGCCTCTACAGGGTCAGCGAGCTGGTTAGCGATGCCATAGGTCTCGCAGCCGTCGATGTCCAAGCCTGCAGAAGCTAAGAGTCTAGCTTGATACTGCACCTAACCTCTAAGAGCTCCCCAAATGATACGATTGTAAACAATTTTGCGCCGGTCAGAAAGGTCCTACAACTGTTACAGGGCAGATAGAACATCAGAGGTCTAGCGCCGGCGGCGGGGATTCACTGCTGACTCTAATCCTAAATTGAATCATATTGATCTTTGGCCCTCGGACTAAAAAGGAGGAAAGGGTGAGGGGGAAGGGGGAAACTGATTGGAGCATTAAGTTCCAGCAAGGTGCACAGGGGATCGCACCTCAAACTGGCGATGAGATCTCGGCTCTACAACCTTTGAAACTGACTCAAGACGAAATGTGCGTCCAACCCGCGCCCCAAAACTCTTTCTACCCCTCTTTTTCCATAAGCCCGACATACCAGCTTATATCCCTGAACCCTATGCACCCTTCCATACCCCTAAGCCCTAAACCCTCAGCAGCCCTAAGACTTTAAGACTCTCTCAGGCCCTAAACCCTAAAGCCCCCCTGGAAGCCCTGAGGCGGCAGAGGCAGACACCCAGCCTGTCAAGCCAGCGGCATAAACAGCCTCAAACATATGGGAACTACTATAGGGGTTTAGGGTTTAGGGGGCTTTATAATATGGGGGTATGGGATAAGAAATCAAACAAATTATTACCAACATCATGTCGAGGTCTACTTGGGGCACCCTATACTACAAATATATAGGAATACTACAAGCAAAGAAAATTAGGACCAATGTTTGCAATTATTTATACCCCCGCAGTAGGTCTGAAAGCTCCTGAACCTTGCAATCACAGGATTAAGGTAACAAAGAACAGGACCATAGCTAGAAAAAATCCATTACATTGATGACCTCATCGTGAAGGGCGGAAGGTGACCGGGGGCTTGGTCCAGGTTGCAAAAGAGCACTGAGGCAGGAAGAAGGGACAAAGCAACCTAGGTGGAGCCGCATTAGTGCTTATCTGCTGAAGGGTGTGAAGCCTAAACTGCAACAGAGGTAGAGCCTAGCGCCGTAAACCCTAAACCCTACAACCCAGCAACCCTCTAGACAGCGGAACTACCTCCTGCCGTCCTCACCTGCTGGGTTTTACAGGGTGTGCTGCTTAGGGCAGGGAAAGCCAAAGATGTACCACACCTCCACAAAAACAGCGCAACCTAAGCTGCAAGTTGGCTGCTACACACATTGCCACGACCAAGGGGGATAACAAATTGTCACATTCCAGAAGTTCAGATGAAGGCTGTTACCGGTAGTACAGCGATGGCAAAAACAGCAGACCAGCAGAAGCAGTAGCCGCGCCAGCAGCAACAGTCAGTAAACCCCTTCATACGAACCCCCTAAGACGAGTTGCACACATGTTTATATAAGCCTCTAAACCTCTTAAACCGTTTCCAACATCGAACCTGCAAGACCCCTTCGCCAAGTGCCCGGCTGTAGACAGCACCTCCTGCTCCGTAGGCCCATGCGGAGCTGCCAGAGAGGCGGAGTAGCCTGCAAATTTCTTACTGATTCTTAGTAGTGAATATGGGGCTATAGGTGTATAATATGGGCTATATAAGGACAATGGAACAAATGAAAAATTACAGTTTAGGGCCTGGGGTTAGTTGGATCATATTGGGGATTGTATAGGGGACTATATAGGGGTTGTGTAGGGGATTAGCTACTATTTAGGGTTCAGGGTTATCTAACTGGTTCTTGGTAGGGAATATGGGAATATACTGTATAAGGATGATATATGGCTTATATTCCCTTAATCCCTACTAAGAACCAGAAAGTCTTTTGGGTTACGAGTGGACACTACACCAGATGAGCCATGGGCGTCGCCCTGGAAAGCCCTGCCGTCAAACCTGCAAAATCCTATGTTAGGGTTCAGCACTATGCTTCAAGCAGGCCCGGATGTTTCTGTTTGCCTTTAACTCGGCGATGTTTTTTGAATCGGGAGCTGGCGTGTGGGATCCTCCAATTGCCAAAATCCCAGGCTCCCTAGCTTTGGTGTAATCCAAGAGCATATGACCCATAGTCTAAACTCCTATAGTACCCCCCCTTAGTATCCCCTACAATTGTCCCGTATGTAATCCCCTACAGAACTCCTTTTAAGGAGTGCAATCTTTCAAGCTCCAGATGGTTCGTATCAACCGACAATTCACAAGGTTGCCTTCCTTACTGTGAACCTAAACCCCTAAACCCGAAACCGGTAAACCCCTAAACCCTAAACCCCTAAACCCCTAAATCCCAAAACCCTAAAACCCTAAACCCCTAAACCCTAAACCGCATGGCCGATGCGAGGACCAAAATTGAATCTGCCTGGGTCTGGTTGTAATCATGATGGACCCCCAAGGTAGAAGACCTCTGCAAGCGGTTTAGGGTTTATTTGGGTTTTGGGTTTAGGGTCTAGGGAAACCCTGGATCCCAAACTCCAAAACCTGAGCCCAAAAACCTGAACCCTAAATCACTAAACCCAAACCCTAAACAGTAGCTTCGATTGTCATTTCAATTCCCAAACCCATGCGCATCGAGCAGATACTTTTTCCAAACCACTGGGGCTGGCATGCGAAGCTGAGAGCTGACTGAAACAGGCATTGAGGGATTTGGGGGTTTCCCAAAATTAGGGGGTACCTTCTTGGGGGTCCCTATAATAAGGACGATAGTATATTGGGGTCTATATTGGGGTCCCCTTATTTTGGGAAACTACCATTTAGGGTTTAAGGGTTAATATCCGCTGTCTGCATTTGAAAGTTGAGGGGCATCAAGGAGTCGAGAATTACCACCAAGATCATTTGGTAGGCGACTTATTCCCTGGGCACTTGCCTGCCTGTAAGTTCCAGCCCTTCCATGACAACAGACTGTCTCCCGACAGGTGACACGCCATCATTTTGATGGGCAAGGCTGTCCAAAGGTTCAAAGATGCATGTCGCAAACCCTCAAGGTGCCATAGGGGTATACTGGTATTCTGGAGAGATGGTATAGGGAACATTTGGAGAAATGACCCTACTTGTCAGGGATGATATAGGGAATATGTTGGAAAATAACCAAGTATTACTATTCCGGAAAAAAGAAAGTGGAAATTACAGTATCGCCTTGTAGTTTCTATCTGCTGAAACGTTTTTGTGCACTGATGAGAAGCAAAAATGAAAATCACCATAAGCCCCAAAGCCCAGACCTATCACTTCCAGGTGGCCACGCATATGCCCACACTGCCGAGAAAAGTAGTCTAGACCGACTACTTTGACTTCATTAAATGCCTTTTCAGCACCCCAACCCCTACTCCGAATATACTCCCAATACCCAGGAGCAGCCTTCTTGACTGCTAAGAGCGCCATCGCGCGTCGCACCAGCAATGCGCCGGAGAAATAGATCACAAAAACAGATGTGCACTTCTGACATGGATGCTTGCAAGCCCGGCTCCCATAAGCTATGTCTTTCTTCCACACGAACACATCATAAAATAGTTTTCAGGGCTTGTTTCCAGCACTACCCATGTCGAACATCAACATGCGCAGACATGCGGGGATGGCCGCAGATGCGAAAATGCTGGACAAGTGCGCCCGAATTGTGGTGCTGTAGCTCCCTGTCTTGATAACCCAGCCATAGGCCACGGTATCCCAATGGGCTCAGGCCAACCTTCGACGCTCCGCACACATGCGATTCCTCTTGCGCTTGGCCTCCTGACGAGTACCTCATGGATAGATTGTAGGGCTGAGAGTTTAGGGTTTAGGATCATTGTTGCTTGAGACTTCTTGGGGTTGTAAGTGAAATTCAACTGCCCCATAACTTCAAGCTACCCACAAAGCTGCAAAAAAGCATGTAGGATTCAGGTTATGAGGCTTTGTACTAGATATTCAGTTTTGAATTCTAGCACAAAATACCAGAATCTACTATCATATATCAGGTATAAGATACCAGGATAGACCATTACATACGTTGATATTTTGCATAATATACAAGTGGTGTGGCTCTTCCTGCAGTGCTGCAAATGCCAAAGGCCAGATCGTTTACAGTCCGAAGGTTAGGGTTTAGGGTTTAGGGTTTGGGTTCCCATCTTCATACTGTTCAGCTTGAATAAGGAGACCCTAAAATACAAAAGGGAAAAAGCTTCCTTCTGGGGTACCTAGGAATCCAGGCCGTTAAAAACGGCGCTGAACACTATTGAGTATGTAGGCCACCCCTCTCACAGATATTCCAACTCTGCCACCCCAATATTGCCCTATAGCTGGAAAGAAGAACGGTGAGATACCTAAACCCTAAACCCTGAACCTTAAACCCTAAACCCTCTCATCAAAGACTTGCCGGCATTAAGATCAAGGCAAGGAGCACAAGTGGCAGTGCTCGCATTGATCTCCTGACCGTAGCTGAAAATCCCAGCACAGCGGTCTGGCTGGATAACTTCCATCACTGCAGGTACTCCCTGAACCCATCAGCACTCATAGGGTTTTTTTTTAAGGGTTTAGCCTCAACCCTGAGATTTTCCTAGAGACAGATTTTCCTAGAAACACTTTATGTGACGGTGGTAGGCTACAACCTTCAGGGTATGCATCGCAACTCCGAGCTCTGGAATTCGGGTTACCTTCACAGGGTATATAGCGGGTCATGTAGGGGCATATAGGAGTTTATGGAGCTTAGGGTTCAGGGTTCCCCAAAATCAGGGGTACCCTCTTGCGTGTCCCCATAATGAGGATTGTAATCTCTTGGGGTCTATATTGGGTTCCCCTATTTAAGGAATCTACCATTTGCAAGGAAAGGCATAGCTATAGGGGGGTGCTGTAGGTACCGCAGGATAACCACAACGAAACCGGCAGGCACTCATAATCTGCATGCTTAGGCACCTATATTCGCGAACCTCTACTTGGAGGGTCAGGGGGACTTAGTAGCTCTGCCAATAAGCCGTATCAGCCACATAGATGCTTGACCCTAAACCCACAATCACGTGGTGGCTTGAATGTTTTTCTACTACCTCAGCCCTCATGACCCTCGGCGACATCCATCTGCTCTGGTGGTGTGGAAGATGCATGGCTTGCCTTCAGCGCGCTTGCCCCGAGCCGTAAAGCATATTTCAAGGGCCTAAGCAAATGGAATAGGCTTTCGGAAAATGTTTACACCACACTCAAGGGTGTTTTAGGGGGATTCTGTTACCAAATGTTCAGGCTTCTACAGTAACTTTCAGTTCTGCATGAATACACCTGTGCAGCCCAAGGCTTGCCAGCAGCCCCACAAGCCCTTGCGCATGGGTCTCAAGCCATCGAAAGCCTACTTGGCATCCAGGGGCTTCACAAGTTTGAGCTAACGCGGGGGCCTGAATAATTGGAGTATTATGGCTTTCGGGAATGTGATACTTCGTCATGTAAGAATTACAAGGAAATCCATGTTGGTGACTATTCCTTCGGTTTCTTGATCTTTCCCGGGTGGGGGGACCAGACCCACTACCCTACACACCATGTCGTAAAGGGACTCTGCGTGCAACATACTTGCTAACTATACCCTCAACCTGCAGCCCTAACCCTGCGCAGTGGGCATCAGTAACATCTTTCATACCCTTCAGGGCCCAGCAGGTGAGTGTAGGACAGAAAACA